TATATAGCGGGGATTTATATCTCTCTTTTACACTCGTTCGAAACAGCGTGGAGCGTGGGTGAAGCACACATGGCTGATCATAAACGCACCGTTACTACTGCGAGTTGCACGTTCGCAGTAAAGCTCCGAGTGTATCTCTCGTTTTCATCGTACGCGCTTTACTGAGTTTAAACATTCCATTTCTATCGAGGGACTAAAAAATTAACGCATGGAACCGCGGATTTTTCGTATGAAATAACTCGCGATTTGATCCGCGCGAGAAAATTAAATATCAAATATTGGAGAAATAAATATTGAGAAATTTATTAAAGCGTCTAGAATTATGATTGTATTATTAAAAATAAAATTATAAAATTTGAAATATCTAAAACTGCTTGTATTATTAAAAAATAAATATAGAAAAATTTTAAATGCCTAAAACTATTGTCATAACTATTAAATAAAAAATAAATACTGAAAAATTCTAAATATTTAAAACTATTATTGTATTACTAAAAAAGATATTGTAAAATTTGAAATGTGTAAAAATGTTATTACTAAAAAATAAATATTGAGAAATTTTAAATATCTGAAACTATTTTTTATCGTATTAATAGAAAATAAAAATTTACGAATTTGGAATGTCTGACTATTCTTGTATTACTAAAAAATAAATATTGAGAAATTTGGAATGACTAACCATTACTGTATGAAAGATTACATGTTTGAGGAAGAAAATGTTGAATATGAAATGTCATAATCAACAAGGGAAGGATCGTGTCTCCGTGTTGTTCCCAACGGAATGAAACGCGATCGTTCAGCTTGTTCTACGAGCTCCGTCTGAGGTTCCGTCCGAGAAGCTCTCGCTACTCCGTTTGAATCCGTTAAATTCCTGCAACTCGGCGAAATGCAATTACCGAGTAATTCGGAGGACTATGGAGGCAAGATGGTGCAAGTCTATGGTGCGTTTTACAACTTGGCTGCTAGCCAGCCAGCCAGCCAGCCAGCCAGCCAACCAACCAACCAACCAGCCAGCCAGCCAGCCAGCCAGCCAGTCAGCCAGCCAGTCAGCTTCTCAACGACGCAAATCATATTATCTTAACGAGACCAAAGATAACGTCCTTTTGTCGCCCGAATGACGCCGCGAATGTATCGCGCCCGACCCGACCAAAAACGAGTCAAGCGCGAACGAAAACGAGAAGCGCTCTCTCTCCACTCGCCTAATTGACTGCCGGGGCAAATTCCGTTTCTCGATATCATCGCCGCTTCCGTCGAGACTGAGCGCGAATTTATACGCCTGTAAAAGGCAAGGAAATTATTGTCCCTTGATATTCTGTCATAAAACTGCCCGATCCGAGCGAAAGAGGCGCGCCTCCGTCTGCAAGTGTGCTTATTTTACGAAGCTCTGATGATAATCGCGAAGATCCTCGCCGCAATCCTCCATTCCGACGAGCTACCTTCGGCGCGTGCAGGATACGTGTATCTGCGCTACGCAAGCACCGTAAAAATGATTATGACGTTCGCGCACGACGGGCGATTGGACGGAACGAATGCGGGATAATTTATTTCTCGCGCCTCTCAACGAGAATAATCGTTCCGCCCTAAAAAGCGTGTCAAAGTGTCGCTATTTAGAGCGGGCTCATTTGTCGTTCCTCTCTCTGGCCGAATTCTCCGTCGCGCAGCGGGCTAATACAGATGTATAGGGTGTTTTACAAATTGGCAGTCGGCCAGGCTCACGTTGTACGAGCGGCTCGGTGCTAACGAACACAACAGATGTTACGGGAGTCGCTCTCTCGTAGTATATCGCGCGACAATGAAGAATCGCGTTGCTTCCGCTACGCGGTCGTTACTTTTTAAGTATCAGGTGGACGCGATGAATAATGCCCGCTAAATGTCGTCGAACAGTTACACTGAGTTTCTGCATAATAAATATGCATCGCCGTTATCCCGCCCAAATCGCGTAAATTCAAACTTTTACGAACTGTTCATTGTTCGACGTCGCGGAAGTATACTTGCGGTAAAAACAGATATTCTTTAAATTTTTGGTGTGAAGTGAAATACCTGAATTGTCGGCTGAACATTTTCATTCTAAATTAAGGAGCACGGAGAAAATTATTATAGTTGCTGTATTCACATATTCTATGGTCAGAGAGGAAATTTATGTGATTTCTAATGAAACAGATATGGCACTAAAAGTTTTTATTACATGCCGACCTATACAGTTCTCACAGTCATATTCTTGTGATATATAATGTTAATATATCCTCATATATCCTTTCCGTTCCGTTACATTCTCCAGGAAATTTGGTGATTAAAGTGAGACTCTCTCATTGGAGTGAGACGAACCTTTTGTTTGATTACGTCGGGCAACGTATAATAAAACTGTAATTATAATTATGTGTATCACGTGGGAATTATATTAGTAGTATCGCCGAAATTTTACATTATATGCATGAATCCACCAAATATTAATGACTTCGCGGGAATAACAAATGTGGCCGATAATAGATGCAAAATAATCGAATAATTGTGTACAATGTGCGTACGGCATGCGTATCAGACGAATCATTAATTAAATTGGCTACATGAATAATTATTTTATGTTTACAAAGCGACCACTAATTATATCGTAAAGTAACATTTTGTACGTGTCGCCAAATTATGTTGCGGAATTATATGACGGTTAAATGATCGGCGATCACGCGTTATTCCAATACAATTATCTAGGAGTTTAAGGACAACGCTCCTCTCGATGTGAATTTCTTTGTACAGCAGAATTACATTCACCAAGTCTCTATCACGGCTACTTTCTCACCACGTCTCTCCCGAGTATCTTTGAGGAGTCCGCGATTATTCAGCTTTCTATTAATGCGACTCTCTTACTCTCTTGCCTTCTCTTTTTGCTCTCTTTTTGCTCCGATTATACATCTCTGTCTGGATGCGCCCTCTTAACTCGCTCCGTCTCGCCTCACCCTCAGGCTCTTCGCTCTTCGGTGCTTTTATTTGACGGGATCGAATTAATTAAGCGAGACGCGAAGTAAAGCGCGAAATAAAATTCTCCAGCTAAAGGCACACGAATTGTGTTCCTATCGCGGGACGTATCTCTCTAGGTTAAACGTATTTTCCGAGGCACGTTGCAAAGTTGTCGAGACGTTTGACATCGAAGGCGCTGGGAGGAAACGCGAAGAGAAAACGTTGCTCGGTCGAGACCCCAGCCGTGTTCAGAAAAATCGCGTTCAGATCGCGTCCACGGAATTCGCGGACGAGGTGTTACCCGACGATACGGAAGTCAACGAAATCGACGACAGTCCTCGAGAACCGTCCATTTTGCACCGCCTCGTCATGATATCGCGCGCGATATCGTCGAAGACGGAAGAACACAAAGAGATACGTGGACTTGCGGCAACATGTTTGTAACGGCGAAACTGACAAAACCGTAAAAGAGTTGCGAATGGTGGTTCCGTGTATGCTTTGCGTGAGCTGCCAATCCTGACGTCACAACCATGTTTATGTCTGCGCGTGATCCGCAACTTATGAGACGTTGCCCTGCGAAACATCATCATCTGGAATATTTCGCGAAGCAAATATCAGCGGTGAAGAAACCGAATAGGATAACTTTGTGGAACGCTCGCGCATAGTGATATCAAACACGTGCGTTATATCTTAGACGCGGTAATCAACTCTATCCCCTTTTATTACGCCCCTCACGTAATACGAGGCGGACATAATAAAAAAGCCCTTCGGCAGAATTTAATGAGAACGAGTGGTGAAATTTAGAGACGCTTCAAATTAACTCAAACGCGCGCAGAAGGTTATAACGAGTCATGGCCTATTTTTATATTTGGACGTTTTTCTCGGTTGGAAAAACAGATGAAAAATATCGTTAATTTGTCCGCAATTCTTTCCGTAGCAAGAGGGAGAGAGAGAAGGAGAGTTCAAATAATGTTATTTGTCCCAACAAAAAGAGAAGGGAGCGTCAACAGAGGACGCGAATAAATTTTTCTTTTCGTACGCTTTTCGTAATGCATTGCTTGGAGCGCGACGAAAGGTTCACTCGGTCCGCCGATTTTCCACGGCGATGATAAGTGGCAAATTGGTCGTGGCGGCGCATTCGACGCAAGTAATGGTGCGCCAGCGGCTCGCCGTTTAATCAGACGGGCTTTATTTGGAAATTACGGGATACGTGGGAGGCAATGTCCCGCCGTTCTCATCTCTCGCGAGGGATTAAGCTTGCCGCCGCTATCGCCAACGCCGCCGTCGCCGCCGTTGCTCCGAAAGGATTAAACATGACAAAGCTGTCCATTATGTCATACGGGCGGAGGAGTAGCGCGCGTCTCGATAGCGTGTGAGACGCGTTTACACTCTCTCGCTCGATAGGAGGAAAAATTGCAGCCGGCGCGCCGTCGTGGATAACAGGTCGCATCTGTGGCCCGGCGTCGAGCCCTCGGGGTCGCTTTAAAAGCCCACTTCGACGGCTTTAAGAACAATCCCGTGTTTTACGAGTAAGAAGCTTTAGCCGCTCTTCCGCACCGCCGCGCTTTATGTCGCCCGACGCGGGCCGACGGATACGGAACGATGTTAGTATTTCTCGTCAAGTCATCCACTTTCCGGATGCACCGAGTGACGTTTGCGCTCTCGTCCGGGGACCTCTTCTCCGTCACGACGACCCTCATCCATTATTCCTCGCGGACTTTATTCGAAACGCGGCCGAAAGCGTTCGGATTTAACTTTGTAATGGTGTAATCGTGCTCGATAGGCAATCAACGATTCGGGGCTGTTTAAACAGCCCAGCAATAGAAGCCTGTAGTATTTCTGGGAATGGAATTTCACTCGAGAAAATAGAGGGAACACCGAGTCACTCGAATTCGAGTGATTTTTCACTTACATATGAGACTCCAGAGAAATTTAGAGTGGCTATCTTTTATTTGCATAAAAATTTTACGATAACAAATGAATGGTTTGGTGAAGTCGCACGCGTGCCTCTTAGGACACCGTTTCACATTGGAAATTGTCTGTTTCAGCCAGCACTAACCTTGTGGGAAAATTCACGCAGAGCGTCCGAAGGATCGTCCAGGACGTGAAGGACGAAGGAACTTCGAGTAAGTCCCAGCGATATTTTATCGCACTCATATCGCGTGAGGGTTTAATTAAAGTTCAGACGCTATCTCGGTTAATCGCTCTGTTACTCGATAAAGTTACTCGCCGCACGCGGAAAAAGATCGCGAGATGGTTCGCGCTTTTATTTTATGGACCCTTCTTTTACACGCTTCATCTTCGCGGCCGTATAAAGACTCATGATCTTCCTGGATAATCTCGCTGGGGATAATTCCGTCTAAATGAGCCCCGAAGAATTTCAAGAAAAAGAAAGTTCACAGAAGGGAGACGTTTCCGAATGTCTGAATGTCAGATCAAGAATCTTTCGATAGGGGAGAAGGTGAGAATACAGGTTACTTCTTTGTTTTAGACAAAAAATCCAATGTTAAATGTGACAATGCATCGATAACTGTCGAAAATGTTTAGTCAAACCATATAGCTCGACATCACAATATGGCTAACGCTTCGCTAACGCTATGGCAATTGTTTGCCAATGCTCTGTCAATCAGTATTGGGTCAGTACTGGCAAATGATTGCTTGCCTGCGGATAGTCCGACGTTACAACAAAGGCTAACGTTTGATCGACATATGACCATAGCAATTGTTCAAAAAATCAACCTTGTATTATCATCTTCTCCCTTCTCCCACTTTTTGCGATTCCGTTGATATCTGACAAGTGAAGTAGAATTTAAATGATTGCCTGTTTGCGGATAGTCCGACGTTACAACAAAGGCTAACGTTTGATCGACATATGACCATAGCAATTGTTCAAAAAATCAACCTTGTATTATCATCTTCTCCCTTCTCCCACTTTTTGCGATTCCGTTGATATCTGACAAGTGAAGTAGAATTTAAATGATTGCCTGTTTGCGGATAGTCCGACGTTACAACAAAGGCTAACGTTTGATCGACATATGACCATAGCAATTGTTCAAAAAATCAGCCTTGTATTATCATCTTCTCCCTTCTCCCACTTTTTACGATCCCGTTGATATCTGACAAGTGAAGTGGAATTTCACATCGTTTTAATTTAATTCTGGAAGGATTAAAGTTTCTCGAAGGACGCCGTGTTTGTGCCGACACATACATAGGAACGCGGATAATCGTCGACGAAGACGGCCGTACATATCGCTCGGAAATAAGTGTCTGGCGGCCCGCCAAGTGGACGGTTGTTGGTTGTCCCATGAATGGAATCGAAGCGGAAACTCTTGTATTCGGTCGGGCCGAGAGTAACGGCGTGTCGGCCGCTGTATTAGCTGAATGGACGGAAACTTCGCCGGCCGAGAGTCCCGTCAGCTTCAGATTAACGCTTTCCCATCAACGTGGGAACTATGATTAATTCCGTCGTCGACGTTCGCGCACCTGCGAGACGGCGATCAGATAAATTCCTAACATACGATAATGACATGTACAGGACGTCCCGCGACACGCGGCCTTAATCTCGACGACGGATCCTCCGATAGACGAATTTCGCGTCGATACACCGCAAGTGTCGGTGAAACTGTGGGAAACGGCGGTCGTTATTTCGCGAAATTTACTAATTTTCGAAATATAGGATTGACGTATTTTTAAATTCAGTCAACTCGTTATTTTCTGTCATTCCCGAGTCGAAATTTTGCTACTTTGACGCTCTTAAGGATAGTTTGCGCCTACTTAGACAGTTTAGTCTAGATAAAACCTACTTTGACAATATCGATACTCGTTAATTTCTCTTTTGAATCTTTAACTCTACCTTGTCAGAATTTTGACATTACTTTGACGCTCTTAAAAATAGTTTGAGCCTACTTAGATAATCTACAACCTAGGTAAAACCTATTTTGACGATATTGACGATATTTTGATTTATTTCCGAGTCGAAATTTTGACCCTATGTTGAACCTTGAATTCTACACCGCAGTAGGAGCTAAGATTGCAAAGTAGGTTTAATTCTAATGATATAATTTAACTCTTACTTTAACTCTGATGATGTCTGAAATATATACAACAAATAAAATGTATATTTTGTATGCTATTTGACGTTTCTGTTTCATTATTTATTAAATTTTTTAAATATTTCTATAAAATATATTCTATGTAGAAACTAAAGCTTTAATAGAGGTTCGCAACTGAACCTACTTTTGTTTCCTAAGATTCTACTATTATACAACCTATTTTGAGGGTAAAGAAAGCGAAAGCGGAAATTTCAGACATCATCTGGGTCAAAGTAAAAGTAAATTATATTATTAGAATATTAAACTCACTTTGCTATCTTAGTTCCTACTGCGATATAAAATTCAAGATTCAACATAGGGTCCAAATTTCGACTCGGATTCCTTTACTCGCTTTCTAAAGAGCAATGAGAGGACCAACATTTGTCCATAAGGGAAATATATGAAGCCGGGATAACTTTCGAATTTTTTGAAGATACCTGACAGCGGAAAAGGTTTCGGCTGATAAGAGCTGCGAGTGTCAAGTGATCAAGAACTGTCTGTTGAACTCATGAAACAGATTGTTCTTGCTGATAAAACAAATGTTAGTTGGTCCTCCTCTTTGTTACTGAACTTCTCTCAATTACGAACACTCAGACGCGTCGAACTGCGTTCCGCATCATATCGATCCTCCTTATCGCGCGCGTCAATCATCGGCGGGCGCGGCGCGTTGAACGGATCCATTAGATCGAGCGCGATGGGAAATGCCGTCGCGAAAGTCGCCCTCCCAATTAATTCCCAATTAACTCGACGCCCAGATAGCGCGGGAAGTTTCGGCATAAATAAATCGAGTAGGTAGCAACGACCCGATAAGCAACTCCCCGCCGACGTGCCCTCGTTGGAGTTCTATTGAGACCGCGCGCGGTCGAGAATTTGTGGGAGAAGTTCGAATCGCGCGGCGACGAACAACATCCCGTAACAACGACTGCACGACGACCGCGTCCGTGAAGGAGCTTCGGAAAAATGTCCTTATCGCTCTCGCTTTGTTTCATATCTGGACGCGCCGGGAAATGCACGCGAAACGGTTCATAACTCGGGGATCTCAGTTTCTCGGGCAACTCGAGACGCTAGATCGGCGCGTTTATACTTCATTTCATCTTATCTCAATGTCACCGCGACGACGAACGAGCGCGCGAACAGGAGGGAGGACACTGTACCGCTTCATCGATCTTCGCCTCTTGCGACGGGCCGTCGCTCGGGCACATTTTACAATTACTCAACGTGGCCGGCGGAGCGTTAATAATAGATCCGGGCGGGCACGTGTAACCCCTTACGATGCGGGTCTCTGTGGACGCAGGTGGACAGACGAAGGAGGAGGTGATCGAGACGAACGAGAGACTGAGAGTCGTAAGGATACGCCTGGACGGGAGCTACGAGACCGCCAAGAGGGCTCTCGTCGAATTGATGTGCAAGTACACCGACAGCAAACAAGTGCGCAACGTGTTTCAGCGTTACAACCTCCTCAAAGTTATGATCAAGGTAAGAGGATCCGGGGAAGGGTAACCACGTGGCGGCGCGCGTGTAATTGGCTGTAGCACGTGGTAGCACGTGTTTTTGTCCCACGAGCGCTTTGTGTGCTCGGGGTCCGGCACTCTACACACACATACATACACATGTGTGCAGACACAGGCGAGAAAACACACGAGGAGTCTCGGTCTTAGGCTACACGTCCTTGATGTAATTACGCTGTAATTATGCCACCTGGCTCGTGCAGGTAAGTGATTAACGGAAAATCGTAGCGTTGCTTCCGGTGAGACTCAATCGAGTCATCGCAGCGTGCATGTTTCTCTCTTGCTTCCAAGAAACTGTCGGGAATTTAATAAACGGGCGCACGCGAATGTGTACAGCTTCATTCTGATTATGTAACAATTGAAAACGACGAGAGATCGTGAAGAGTTTGAGAAATGAGAGAAAAATAGACCGAATCGAGAAGGACTTGATTAGTAGCAACACCTTATTAATCCTTGGAGATTAAGAGCGTTCAATTACTCAAGGTTATAATTGGTTTTATGAATGATATTCATTCCCAGAACATCGTGATATCACGGAAAATGTTGATGGTCGAGTAGGACCTGCGTTGAAAGGAGCAATGAACATGTCAATCGTCACCAAGCAACCTTTGATTGAATTAATTGAATTTGCTCAATTGTCAATTAAACTTCCTTTAATTAAATTCGCCAAGTTCAGTCATCAATTACGCTCCCGTTAAACTGGTTAAGTTCAATTATCAACAGAACGATTGTTAATTGTCTTCGATCATATCAATTGTCAATTGAACGATCTTTAATTGAATTTGTTGATGCCAATCGAACGGTTTCCGATTGAATTTATTGAAGCCAATTGGTTCATATTAATCGTCAATTAAAAACGATAATTAATTAAGAAATAATTATTCCTCGCGACCCTGCAATCAAGGATTGCCTGATACGCACACACCCTGATATTTTGTTCTTATATGCACAACAGGCGCCAGAAATTAACCCTGATACCTACACTGCGCTGAACCCAACATTTGAATGCCAATTTTTGGAAGTTTAAACATTTCTTCAAAATTTTGGGAAGGAACAGAAAACATTCACTCAAAATATACACAGATCAACGATGCGTCGAGACTTAAAAAAGCGACGGGAAACAAACTGATTGTCCTCTAAATCGCATCCAAGGAGCAAGACCAGAGAAATTTGGTTGCACTATAAAATTGTTAAATTTAACACATTTCATGTGTCCCAAATCATACACTCTCATTTATGAGTAAATTTGACACAAAACAAATGTGTTAAAAAATAACACGCATAATGTGGAAAAAATTAATACAAGAATTTAATACTTGAATACAGGTTATGAATCACAGGTTGTGTTAAATTGACGTATTTACTATGTCAGACATAGATTATGTCAATTTAACATTTTTATTTCATCAAAACCATAGATTAAATTCTTTCTCAAATGTTAAAGTAATGTTTTATTTTAATTAATTTAACATTTAACATTATACATATGTCAATTTAACACAAACTGTGATTCCTGACGGTATACAAGTGTTAAATTCTTGTGTTAATTTTTTACATATTATGCGAATTACTTTTTACCACATTTGTTTTGTGTTAAATTTACATATAAATGAGAGTGGGTGATTTGGGACACATGAAATGTTAAATTTAACACATCAGTTTTTACAGTGTGACGTCGCATCGCAGGACGCATAAACCTTCTATGATCTCCTGCATAACAATAGAACAATTATGAATGCGCTTTCTCATCTTTTTGATTACCCCATCGCTTTTCATGTCCGACCGTTTGGCCTTTCCAGGACGTGATTAAGCTTGAGACGCAGTACTGGACATTGGTGGATATACCGCGGCAAGAGAAGCAGGAGACCGTGCCAGCCTTCGTGTTGCGTGCCTGCTCCATCATGGAGAAGACACACAAAAGTGGCGAAGGCGTGAAAACTTCGGCGCGCCTCGCCGAAGAGGCCGAGACCAAGCGGGAGCGCATCGAAAGACTGGAGAGTGAGTTTTTCAATTTTTCGTCATGTCGATGTTCATAACAACTTGGTCACTCTTAAGAGTAGCAATAGTTAGCTAGAGATTTTGTCCGACGAAAAAGAAGGAAATTAATTTTAATTGAAAGAAAGGAAAATTAAATTAAAAGAAATTAAAGGCCATTTTATTGATATGAGCAAATTCTATCTATTTAATCGAAAGGCGTTTAATTACTTATTAATTACTCATTGGTTACAATTAGTTACAATTGGTTTTGTAGATAATATTCATGCCAAGAGCATAATGGCGTCATGGAAGATATCGACGATTCAGAAATGTTAAGAAAAGCATACATTGTGGGAGCACAATTATCAATTAAACAATCTTTAATTGAATATGCTCATATCAATCGTCAATTAAACGAATTGAACAGGCTCAGTTAAGCACGACAATTCATTAAAAGAGCAATCAATTACTCGCAACCCAGCCATGCAGACCAGATAACTGATTGGGATTAAGTTAGAACATTAGATAAAGTTCTAGTCTTCTCATAGCTGCGATTTCAGCATTACTCGGCTTATTATCCTCGGCACTTGTGCATGATTAGTCGACCAATTAGGAGGATGTTAATTAATTGCGCGTACATTGCACGCTTGCTTCGTTCCCGAGATTCTTCTCGCTGTGTGTGAATTATGCGTGAACGCTCGTTGATTAGTCGGGCTTGACCCTTGGGAGCTTCTGAGAGCGGTATATTATTTTCCGCCGTATGTACCACGACGAAGACAATGGCGAACCGTTGCTCCGTTGCAATTGTTGCTCCTTGCCATCGATTTCGGCTGGATTCAGCTGTTCTCGCCAATATTAAATCCCACCCCCTCCTCCGTCGCTGTCCGATTACCGATATCGCGCAGGAGGAATTTTATTCGTCGCTAGTGGGATCAGTTACAGTTGCCGAGTCAGGGAGCAATTCTCGAGAGGGCGGCGAAGCTGCGGAGGCTCGTGGGAGAGACGAAAATTTCGGGCGCGACGAGTCGCGCGGGCGTGGAAAGGGGAAATTAGTTTCTCTTTTCTCGGACTGGTTTTTACGCGCAGTTTTCTTCTCCCTTCTTTTTTTTTCTTTTTCACGCTCTCTCATAAATATTCAACGGGCGCTTCTCGTGCAACAATATTCATTATTTGTCCGGAGCGTGGAAGATTTACGGTATTTCATTATCGCGATTCGCACGCCGAATTATTCGAAAATTATTCGCCGTGTCTCCCCCGACGACAACGACGTACTACCGAAAACGACACGAGCGACATTCTCGCGATACTGTTGCGCAATTGCTCGCTCTCGCGATTACATCGCGGCTCCATAAATCACGTCGGCCGCAAGGAGAATAGCTTATTAGCAACGTAAATTGCCGATAGCGCGATCGTCGTAATTAAAAATATTCCGCGAGCGCGGTTACAATGCCTCGACCTCACCCTCTCTCTCTTCTCTCCCCTCCCGCTTAATCAAAGGACTCTCCTTCGTTTCGCGGGAAGGGATCGCGAGTTGGAACCACTCGATACAAACGGCACGAACTAATTGATTAACTCGCGCCCGATCGACCGGAAATTCTACGAGCGCTTGCACATTTATATGTTCCCCTCTATTTCGCCCCAATTTATCTTTCTCGTTCCATTCGCCTTATTTTGCTTCATTCCGCCCTCCGTATACTTTTTTTTAGTAGTGTCTTTCTATATATTTTTAGATGTTCTGTTAAAAAAAAGAAAGAAAAGAAAAATAGCGACGTATGTGTATCATTACGGCATGGTTCAGTTGATTTTACAAGTCGTATAGCGTGCTGAGCAAAATTAAACGTTGTAATTAGGCAGGTTTGTTGGTGCAGCAAAGATATTAAAGCGATTGCCAACATACTTATATAGCGAACACATTTTTCTCGATATTACGTCAGTTATTACAACAAATCTCTTCGTACTTCAAGCTAATTGATACATTGACGAAACAAATCTGTTAATTTTGCTAAACAAATCGTGCAATTATTTATTAGATAACGAAGAAATATTTCTGTTAGTTTTACGGAAAACCATACTTCAAGTCTGAAAATATCCGCAATATGAGAAATATGTCATTATACATTACGCAATTTAAGTTTGTCTTTTGATAACAATACATTTGTAACATAACACATTAATATAAATTACACTTGTTGTGAAATACGACGAGAGTTCTGGCCTTCTGGTAACCGTGATTTTAGTATTACTGGGCTTATTATCTTCGACACTTGATAGGTCGATATTACCAATTAGGAGAATGTCAATTAATATCACGTACATTGCACGCTTGCTTCGAGACGACTATGAGATTATTCTTGTCGTGCGTGAATTATGCGTAAACGCTTGTTGATTATCTTGACCTCCACAGTACCTGTACTTAGTTATTACACAGTGAACTGCCTGTCCGTATATTATGACTATAAATTTGCTGAGTTAGCGAGGTTTTCAGTTGTCCTTTCTTTTTTCCGCACATCAACCAATAACTTTCATGTGTGATTTTCATCTGGCTTTCAGCGATATGAAATCAGGCGGTAGTTTTTTCTGAGCGTTAATTAATGCTCCGATGGTGCGGGCTCACGTCGATGCGACCGCGCCATTCGATGTGGTCCGTTTTTGCTGTCGGCTGTTAATTGTAAAAAACTAAAAATATGTTACGTCCGCGCTTCGTTGAACGAATTTCGCGCAATATGTAATCGTGGCGGCAGGTATTTCCCGCGGTTTCGCTCGCGCGATCATAAAATTCCGGGCGGTCGACGCGCGGATTGGATCTCTAACTGGGAAAATTGATGGTAGCAAGATATTTCTTTTATTTTTATTTTAAATCGAGAAGTAAAAGTTCTGCTCGAGCTTTTTTCTAGTTTATGGACAAGAGCATGCTTATTTGTGAACCAGCACGCGGACGGTTAATTTTGCTGATTTTGTTCACATGCTTATCCAGCTGTGACGTTTCTGTTATGCTTCATGATTGTACTTCGAGGAGCTGCGTTTAGCAGCAGAAAATAAAAAAAAAGAACAGAAAATAATCATAAGATCATAATAAAATACGATGCGCTTTGCGCAGATATGACCACGGCGCAGATCGAAGCGGAGAACACCCAGATGACCAATGATCTATACAGGTTGTTGAAGAAATATACGGGTCTCAGGAATCTCATCAGGGACTTGAAGGTACACGCTACTCCGCTGACACCAGAAATAAGAGAAATATTCTATTCTCTCGAAAATGAACACTAATTTCATTCTGCCAAGAATAACATTTGTTTTTACGACGTAATTAATTTGTCGCGAAGTATAAGGGAAATTGTTCTTCGAATTTACTACACAAAGAGTACTCAATATACACACAGTACCGATCAAATTTTGAGATTATTGCTATAAAAATGTTTATCAAGAATAATTCTGAATAATCTGAATAATTATTATACAGATTCAAATATTATTTGGATAAGTATTATCCAGATAATTCTTGATAAATATTTTTATCAGTTTTTTCTGATTTTTTTTACCAGTAGTGTAATTTTACTATAGAAAATATTTAATAATCCAATATATTATATATTATATAATATTCATATATTAGAGAAATCGATGTTTCTTGCCGGATATAGCGCCGATATTAAGAACGCTTCTTTAATTTTAAATATGACATTATTAAAACATTTTTTCAGTCTTTTATAGATCGAATAATTTCCGAGAAAAAATATCGAGGATAATCATGCCGTTCGCTAATGTGTACTCTGTCAATATTCGTAACATATTGACTGTTGTTAGATTATTTTCAATGATTATTAGTAGGTACACTGAAAGAAAAATACTTGAAAATTTATTTGTGGAATATAAAGTTCATTTTTATGAAATAATTTATGTGAAATAAACCTTTGCTCCATAAAAATTTATATAAATTGTCAAATACTTTTCTCTCAGCGTATAGCATGAAAAAAGCTGTTTCAGGTACTACAAAAATGCATTATAAGCATAATGCTATAATTATAAACAATGAAATAACTTGAAAAACCAAACAGTATTTCAGTCGTACTTATTCGTCGAAATGTTTGTTCCCTTGAATCGTAATTCGGATGCAATAAAATTTGTGAAATTCAAAGAAATCCTTTTCTCTGTGAAATTTGGATAAAAATTTCCATCAAGGGCAGAATGGAATATTCTTCCGCGTATGAGATAACGCGCGGTCGTGTAAGTAGATATCTCCGGGACACCTTGCGCAGTCGTATCGCTTATCGACTCCTCGATTACGATCGTAAAAGGTGGTGCTGTTCGACAGCGAGACGTAACATCGGCTATTATATTACGACATTGTTACGATCGTCCTTTTTTCTTTTACGTTCCAATAACTGCGTAGCCGCCGCTGTTATAAGGCTACCACCCCATCGGTGGTTATCGTCCACTCGTTGCTCTCTTCCATACAGTGTCAAATAAATCGAAGATTAAAGGCAACCATGGGCGGCGTGATGTCAAAGCAAACCGCCTTTCCTCGTACTTCGATCCTTGCGCGAACGCCTTTCAAATTGTCCCGGGTAACTTGCAATTTTATCCTCATCACAAACAGCTTTACACATTATTATTAATCAGAAATACTTTACACATTATTATTAATCAGAAACACTTTACACATTAATTATTAATTAGAAATTTGTCTCTGCATACATTGCAAGTCGATAACTTGACCTTTTAACGCCGTTGCACGTAATTATGTACGTTCACTTTAGGACCTACCCAAATTTTTTATATTAGCGAAGTAACGAGATGCCGGGGCTAGATGTCCCATATTTCAGAATCGATGGGCCTTAAAGGGTCAAACATGGGAAATGAATTTACTCTTATACCTCAATGTACAATGTTCAATTTCCTCCGCAGTAGTAAAAATAGACGCACGACATTAATTAATCGCCTGCATGATTGGTTCCCTTTTCCAGGAGGAGTACAACAGCTCGAAGGTGTACCCAATGTTTCCACGTTACACGATACTGAAGGACATGATAAAGGACATAATGCACAACCCGGACTATATGGAGGTCTGTCACGAGGTGGACCAAGCATAGCGGCCCGACCCCCTCCACCGTTCGCCACGCATGACCTTGTAAATTCCTCAAGGTCCCCGCGTGGTCGTCGGTGAAGGGGGTGATCCAGAGAAAATCATGCAGCTTGAACTCATTTCACGCTGGACGGCGATCGGCCGTCCCGTTACGATTCCTTTGCGTCTTCGTTCTCGCCCTGAGTTTCCCCTGCGAACAGCTCCCAGAGCAACGCCGCCGTCGTCGTCGTCCTTTAGTTCGCATCTCACGGCGACCGTGGAGCGGCGAGTCAACGCGACTTTTCGCGGCCTCCCCCCCCCCCCCCCC